ATATATATGTATATATATAAACAAACAAACAAACCTGATGTGCCTCAACCCACGGGGATCACAGTCTTTATTGATGGTCAAGTTCCACTGACATGGCCCTGATAGTCTTGACCCCGTCTGTCTTTGATAGCTACCTTGATTTTTGGAATAACAACCTGTTCTGGGCTCATTTTGTGCATTTCCTCCCAAAATCTTAAAGTGGTCATTTCTCCAAGATCCCCTTGTCCCTTTAAGTAGGAAATAATATCTAGAAACTACAATTTGGAGTTAGAAGTTAATAAATTGACCAATGTTCCAGTTTAATTGGTGCTTTGCTAAACCACATCTGATTGTTTTTCCCTTTCCCTTTGCCCTTGGTTGTGACAGTATGACAGTTTTTCCAAAAGCTCACAGACATTTTCATTTACTTGAGAGCTGGTGATACAATCAGACTGACCCCATCAACAAGGTTCAGGGGAAATGCTGCATGGCACCAAAGCAGAAAGATGACTTTTAGAATGAGATCGCTCTGCTCTTCCTGTGAACAGGGCTATCCTCTTTGGTCATCCTGAGCCTCTGAGGAGAGGGCCAGAAGTGACAATATGATGCATAGTTACTACTATTTAACTCATGCCCGTATTCCCCTCTGTATAACGGTAGAGACTTGTTATGGAGCATTGGCAAGTCCCAGGAGCCCTGAGGAGCCACAGCAGCCCTGAGCCCAGTTGGTAAAGAGATAGCCAGGAGTCATTACAGCCCAGTCAGGAATTTTAAACATGCTTAAAGAGTATGCCTTGCAATTACTTCAGCTAGATTTGACAAGAGTATCTAAACCACTTGGATTGGAATGCAGCTCTAACCCTGCCATGATAATTAGCTTTTATGATCCTGAGGACAAGAAATGTTTTCTCTCTGGGTTTGCAGATATACAGAAGAAATACAATGCATAGGTTCAAAATAATAAAATCCATTTTGAAAAGTAGCAACAATGAATACATTCTCCCTTTAGACAAATAAAAAATAAGACTTCTTTATTTAAGTGATTTCTAGTTTTTCTCTTCTGATGAATATTTGGTATATTTTCTAATAAGAGGTAACTCAAATTCATTTGAGAGATGTTTATATGAAAGAATGAGTCATAATAGTTAGGTAATGCTTTTAATATAAGGTTGAAGGTTAAAGTGTGAGGGACAGTTTACCTGCCTGTACTAAGAGCTTAAGTCTTGGCCACTAGAGATCCAATATTCCTAATCAAGTGGCATTTTGTTATTTGTGACATCTGCATACCAGAGCCACTAGACACTTCTTGGTCCTTGTTTTCCTCATCTGTCTTTGACTTTATACTCTGAACCCTTCACTTCCTTGAACCTGTTTGAGAATTGGTAGCACCACAGTCTTCTGACTTCCTTCTTTTCTATTTATGATTTCCTATTCACAGTTAATTGTTGTGTATCTCTACAGCACACAATACAGTTTTTCAAAGTATTCATGCAATAAGTGACAAATCAAAGACATGATCATATGCACCACCTTCTATATCATCAGCCCAGCAATCTCCTACCTTGGATGAGTTTCCCATGAGTGCCTCTCACATATCAGGGTTCACCCTCATCTTGATATTTGGTTGTTCTTTTCTTCTCTGTCTCAGAGACAATGAATCCTCTTTAACCCACACTCGCTCTTCTGTATTCTGAGATGACACCCCATTATATTTACCTGTGCTCCCAGAGTGTAGTGGATCTCATCCTCTTTTTAATTTTTTTAAGAATTATTTTATTTAACTTTATTTGTTTTAATTTGTCCAGAGAAGAACAGAGAGAGAGAGAGAGAGATCAGGAAGGTGAAAAAGCAAGCTGCCGGGTCCGAGACTAAAACTATGGTCAGCCCTGTAGGAGTCCAGCATTCTTAACCACCACACCACCTGCTGGAGAGGTTTTCTGCTATAGGGCGCATGCGCTCACCAGACAGGCAGAGAGAGACAGAGAGACAGAAAGCGAGAAATCACCCCCTAGGGGGATGGCCACGCCGCAATCCCTACTCCTCTGTTCTCCTCTCGGGATCTTGGGCACGTGCACACACGCGCCCGGCATGAGTTTTAAGCCACAGTGCCTGGGATGTGAACTGCGGTCAACTACATGGGAGTTCAGTGACATAGCAATTACGCTAACTGCTGGTCCCCCCACATCCTCTTTTTAAAAAATCCCTTTAACTCAGTTTCTCATAATGCATCAAAGACCATCGACAAAATTCGGTCTTCACTACCTGGTCTGGGTCACAGCAACCACTTTCTTATTCATGTCTTAGCCTGTTACAGGCCAGTCTCAAACCCACTGCTGTCCAATACAGTACCCACTGGCCATGTGTAGTTCTTAGCATTTTCATTAAATGACATTAAGAATTTAGCTCTTCAGTCACACTAGCCACATTTTGAGCCCTCAGTGGTCACGTGCACATGGGACATTGTTTGTTTAATAGTCTCTTGGGGCCAGCACTGGTTAAGGCACTGGACTTCCATAAGGCCAACTGCAGTTCAAGTTCCAGACCTACATGCTTAAAACTCACACTGGGTATGTGTGCATGCATGCCCGAAATCCTGAAAGGCAAATGGAGAAGGATTTGTGGCATGGCCATCCCCCTGAAGGGTGATCTCTTGCTTTCTGTCTCTCTATCTCTCTCTCTGTTTCTCTAGTGGGAGCACACATCTTTTAGCAAAAATCTCTCGCAAAAAAAGAAAAAGAAACAAGTACAGTCCCTTAATTGTAAAAACATTGTCTGATGATCAATGTAGTTTACTGACATCCAAAACTTGGTGTATCTACTGAAATTTACAAATGTCAAAGTATTTTTTTTTTACTTAACATAATCTAATTTTTTAGAAATAGCAAATTGTTAATATATTTAATAATACTGTATGTTATTAATTAATATAAAATAAAGGAATTGTCAACTCACTAATGTGATAAGTTCTAAATGTTAGTAAGTGTGATTGGTGTTTTTAAAATATATTACAGTATTTAATAGGGTCTCTACTTGTCTTGTTTTCCTATGCTTAGATTAAATCACTTTGTTCTTATTTACTTTCTATCATTTATTCAATATTTAGAGAAAACACTATTTCTTTGGCAATGCTCACAATGTTTTAAAGTTTGTAAACTAGGTGAGTCAACAAAAATGTGAGAAATTTATTGTTACTTGGCCTTTATCCAAACCTCTCTACTCTATCCTGTTCAAGTATGGAAATAATGAATTCAGAAAAAGCTGCCCACACCATATGGCTTCAATCAATTTGGTTTCAAATAGCACCTTAAATGTTTTATTAAAATTAAAGAGACATTATAGAACATAAACAAAGTAAATTTTTCTTTTTTAATTAAATAAGAAAATTAAAGGAAAGAATCTGTTAAGAAAATTCAGTTTAGTAGGTAGTTGCCAAAATCTATAATCAAGTTGTTTCTTTAAAAAGTTCATGAAAATGCAAATGATGAGAAAACCATGCATGGATTTCAAAAAATTTTTGCACCAAAATAAACTTGTATTTTAATTGGATTTTTTTTCATTTACTTTTTGAAGTCCCCCTGACTTGTTCTAGGTAAACCATGCATGCACACACACATACACACACACCTTAGTGAATATTTAAGATGTTAGAAATGTCAACATATACCTGTTTCTTTCTCAAGCCAGGCTTTCTATAAGCTTGCGATAAACAGTGCCTCCTCATTTCATGTTATATAAATTGATGCACTATTTATATGAATGCAAAGGCATTATGAAGTAGAATGAAAAATCTGGCCCGACTTCCTCACACTTGGAGATTCTTAACAAATCAAGTAATTAAATTTTAAAAATTATTTTGAGCTTGTTGCAAGTCACATTATATGTTAGACATGCAGGCGTCAATTTTCATCTGCCTTTGAAAATCTTTTGAGACAGTATAAGACGCTACATGGCTTGGCTCATTCTCTGTGGCTATTTCACCTTTATTTCTAGAGACTCTCTTCTCCCCTGAACGATTCTTCCCAACTATATACTACCTATCTCACATGCAAAGGTAGACACTATCAAATGACATCAGAATAACAGCGTTCATATAGCGCATCGAAATCGTAAGTGAAAGCGTTATTATACTGTTTAGTCAAAGGAAAACGAGCACTTCCATCTTATCAACAAACCAATTGCTTTCAAAATGGCCAAAACAAGTGACTAGATGTAAAAGTACAACTCAAGGAAATTTATTATGTAAAAGAAAAATAGCAAGGCAAAGTAAAATGAAAACTCATTATTTGTATAAATGAATAAGTTATTCATGAGAATTCAAGATAGGGCCGTTGCTATGAATGTATTTGCCAGCATTTGACAATAACACACTTTTATATAAAGGTTACCCAGCATTAGCCCTCCTCTAATTACCCTGCATCGACTCATTTCATCTTCACATTGCTCTGTCGGTTGTACACGGTTATCTCCTATTCTACAGAGAAGGGACATCAGGCACAAAACTGCAGAGTCACTTGTGTCCACAAACAGCTGAGTTAGAATTTAAGTCTAGTAATTGTGGATCCAGTCTGAGACTCTTACTTTGTACTCTTCATCCTCTAGGTCGTCAGAAAACATCTACCAATGTAAGAAAATATATCGTCAACTCAGCCGTCTGTCACAGATGGTTTATAATTACAACTTGTTTTCAAATGTTTTCAGATGTTTGTGTTGTATTATCTATCTTTGTATGTAACTACTAAATAGAGTGTCATGCAGAACCATAGTGTTTTGTGATCCATGTTTTATATACGAGGAAACAAAAGACACAAACAATACTATGGTGGCTTCACTTAAGGTCATTAAAACATGGCACTAGAAATAGTATCAAGTGTCCTGCAAACCGATTCATACACCTACAGTCTTGTTCTAAATGAGCAGTTGACAGAAAAGGCTTTAAATCTCCTTCTCTCTGATATTCCACTCGCTGCTTTAAGATTGTTCTGTCTGTCTTGGAAGTTTGGTAACAAATCAATTGAGGAGAGTATGTGTAGGTATGAAGTCACAAAGCAATTATGATGTAGTGTTATTATTTTCATTATTGCTTTTATGAAAGAAGATAAGACCAGGGCTGGCCCTGTAGCCTGATAGTTAAGGATCCCATATGGCTGATTCCAGTTCAAAGCTTATTCCCGGTGGCTTGAAAAACATTTCAGGTTCATGTACTTATGTGCTCACATCCTAACAGAACAAGGAAATGAGAGAAGGGATTTCATGGTGACCGTACCCTAAGAAGGAATGCTTTCTCTTCCTCTCTCTTTCTAGCTCTATCTATGGAAAGCACACCCACCTTAAGTCAATTTAAAACAAAAGAAGGAGCCCATTTCTTATCTTGTTGAATTAAAATGATGTTGCATTGCTAAAAACAAAGTATTTTCCATAACATTTAAAAATAAACGTGTCCCGTACTAGAAAATGAGACTGTCAGAAATCTACGAAAGAGTTTTGGTTAGATCCTGAGACCAGCGGGCCTCCCAGCATGGTAAAGCTTAGTGAATACAGCGTCTGTCCATCCTGCTGCACTTCCCTCAGTTTCCACTGAGGCGTTCTTTTTTATAAAACAAAATCGTCCTGTGTCTTTGCAAATATCCTTTATTAATATTACCTGTCTGATCTAAGATTAAAACTTAGCGAAGAATCAAATATGTCAGTTCCTCCTGACGTGAGCAATCACACAGGCTCAAAGACGCGCACACACCCACATGGGCTGAGATGTCTCTCTTGCCGCTGCAGCACCTTGTAATATGGACAAAGGAGCATGAATATCTCACCCAGCCCTGGGCTTCCACAGAGAGCTCACACACCATCTCTTAGCCATACTTGATCATCCACGCCTGAGAGGATCACGGCTCACTAATTCTTAAGTAATTCTGCCTCTGGTCTCAATGAGGCATTTACTTGGGAAAACATTCAACAAAATTATACACATATTTACTGAAACCTTGCACCATAAATCAAGTGAAGCAACATAGCTAAAACATCATATTTCCATTGCACATTTATCCACCTTGCTCATTTTTCTTATGACTTATTTTCATGATTTTCTCTTCTTTCGAGTAGATGTCAAGATGCTGCCCTTCCAAATGACGCTGATTTGTGCTTGACAGAGTTGTTTTGTTTTTCCCTCATATCACATTCATTTTGCAGATGAAAGGGCACGAATGCAGATGCTACGCATGCAAAGTGAATCCACAGCAGGGACATGGTTGGCCCAAATGAATGAGAGGAGCTTTCTGTAAATCTGAAATTCATATGGTGTCACTTGCTTCAGAGCCTGAAACATTAAGAAAACAAATCATCTTAAGGTAATATAGGAAGCAGCACATCTTCAGATCATTTATCTTAAATTTCTAATTTTCAGTGCAGTTCAATGAATAAAAATGTTCAGTTTTAACGACAATTGCAAATGCCATTCACGCTTTAGTTCAATTCTCACAACACCAAAGCCTCTACAAATTAACTAGGTTGTCTTCATTGAATAAATGGCTAGAGTCAACATTTAATTCTACAAGTTGATTAGTGCAATAAACATAGCTGTTTCTCTTTTGTAAGATGATTCTTGTCTGACTTAAGGACTTCATTGATTGAAGGGTGGAGGGTGGATTAAAATATTAAGTCTATTCTAATATCTTCCAGTTTTAGTGTTTTTCAGTCATTTCTGAAAAGGCAATCAATTCAATGTGCAAGATGTATTACCAGTCTTCTTTCTTTCTTCTCAGATATTTGTCCTCCCTCTCTGCCTGCCCCACCCCGGCCATGACCCCTCAATGCAGTGACATATTTTGATGTTCTCAAGGAGATGAGGCAGAGGTGACTAGTCTGCTTGTGGCTTGTGCTGTGTCTCCTGAGTCTTCAGCACTTACACAGTAAAATGCCTGTTCCTTGGTCTGATTATGCATTTCAATATAATGAAGCATCCTAATAAATTGAGCATTGTAAGGGAACAATTATTTCCTTTTGTTCATGGAGTCTGTGGACCAGAAATTTAGAGTTTAGTTTTTCTTTAAGTTTATTTATGCATTTCTTCCATGAGGAAGACACATACAGAGAGAGAGAGAACACCTTCAACATGATCTTGATACCACATCTACCCCAGCCTCCCACCAGCCCTGAATCCTGGACACACACATGCCTGGTGTACTTGGGGAGATCTCCAGGCTTGAACCAGAAATGTTTCCATATGATTTGAAGAGGGTCATGTTCTACCACTACGCCACCACTGACCTCTAAATTTTTACTTTTGTGTCTACTCCATGATATCTGAGACTTCATGAAGCTCATGATGTTAGGGTCATTAGGGGACATTGCACAATCCACTAACTGTACTCATCTGGAAGCTTCCACATGCATCTGCCTGGGTCCCGAGCTGGGAGAAGGTATAAGCAGCTTGGATGGGACTCCTGAACATGGCACTTCTGCATGGCCTGGACCCTGAGGGCATCTACAGATTCAAAATTCCAAAACAGGGTGGAAGCTACAGGCCTTTTCCTGCCCAGCCTGAGAGTCACATGACCTCGCTTCCCTATAAACCAAGCTACACAGGCCAGTCAAGCGTCAGAAGAAGAGCAATCAGATTCCACTTGTTCAAGTCGGCAGATGGGGCCACCTTGCATTTAGAACATGTAGAATGGAGGATATCATCATGACCAGGATTGGAAAATGCACTGTCATGTCCCTCACAGACTCTTCTGTTCGTGAAGCTCATGGCTGGTGATGGCCTTGGCATGAGTCAAATCAAAGGCACAAGCCTGCCTTATTGCCGCCACCTGATCTTTCAAAATTCCTTCATGTTCGATAGACAACCACAAGTCAGTATGTATGTTTTAATGTTGATTTCAGACATGGAACTTTATTAGGTGATTTTACAGTCCTTAAGTGTAGGTTCAATTCATTATTTTTTACTTTTTGTGCTATGCAAGTTTCTGTTTGAAGCTCCCCCTTCACCCCAGAAAGCACATATTTAGAATATCTAGAACGCTAGGACAAGAAGATAGAGCAGAATAATCATTAAGTAGAATTATCCACTACACCAAATGGATGGGACCAAGCATTCTGAGCTCAGATTTAGGCACTTTCTTTTCTTTCTTTTTTTTCCTTTTTTCTTTTCTTTTCTTTTTTTTTTTAAGAGCTTTTTGCTATAGACTGCGTGAGCTCGCCAGACAGACAGAGAGAGACAGAGAGACAGAAAGCAGGAAATCACCCCCCAGGGGGGATGGCCACACTGCAATCCCTTCTCCTCCATTCTCCTCTTGGGATCTTGGGCACGCACGCACACGTGCCCGGCGTGAGTTTTAAGCCACCGGGTCTGGGACGTGAACTGCGGTCGACTACGTGGGAGTCCAGCAACATAGCCATTATACTAACTGCTGGTCCCAAGATATAGGCACTTTCTGGCACCCAGTAATTATGATGCACCTGGAGTTTCCTCCGATGGGGCCAGCTCAACCCCACCCTGCAGAGTGACTCCCCTGTTGGCCCAGCTGACTTACCCCTTCTGGGAGCACGCAGAAACTGAATCACCTCCTGCCACTGGCAGCTGTGCGATAGTCCCTGTGGGCTGAAGACCTGTCTTCACTCTCTTCCTAGTCACTCCTTGTGCATTTCTAAACTGCTGAATAAAAGTTTAGTATTTTGTAACTAATTACTTTGTTTAATGCCAGAAAATGCATGTACTAGCTAGAGAGAGAGAGAGAGAACCCCAGATAGGGGTTGCTACTACAGATCCTTCTCCATTTCTCCTTGTTGGGATTTGGGACGCACACCCATGTACATATGCCTGAAGTGTTTCTCAAGCTGCTGGGGCTGATTCAAACCATGTCGTCAGTATTGTGCGGTCAGTTCCCTTAATCACTAGGCTATAGGGAAGGTCCAAAAGTTTAATATTTTAAAGCGTATTTTCCTATGATATGTGCAGAATATAGATCCATTTTTCATTTTTCCATTTCATTCTTTTGATATCTGTTACCCTCTGATCATAATCTCCTTTACTTATTTTTAATTTGTTAGAGGGTGCATACACTCACAGGAAAGAGAGAGAGAGAGAGAAGGAAAGTGAGAAAGCGCCCCCCCCCCCAGAAGAAAGTCACACCGTAATCCCTTCTCCTCTATTTCTCTTTTCAGGATTTTGGGCGTGCCTAGTATGTTTTCCAAGTCACCAAATTCAGAACTCAAACTGTGCAGTCAGCCATGTGGCCACCTTAACCACCATGCCACCCTCTGACCCCTCATTCACTTACAATCACAAGGTCTCCCAGAAGTAGAGATTGTTACATTCTATTTCTTTTTTCTCTGGATTAGGGAGCAATTATAACATCAAAAACAGATACAGAATCCCAGCCCAGGTGGTATAGTCTATAGCATGCTAAACTGCTGTGCTAGAAGACACAGGGCTGGCCATGGATTCAGACCACAGATCAATCTGGAAACACAATGGCTGTGCCTATAGGCACCCAAGATTCCAAAGAGTTGGAGAACTGGGGAAAAGGGCTTGTGGCATGACTGGGTCCTGTTTGGGCTGTGCTCTCTCTCACTTGCACAATATCTACCATAAAATATAGATAGAGTATATATATATATATTTTTTTTGATAATTTAATAGAGATATGTATTTAATAAAGGTATAGCTATGTAGATGATTTTCAATAAAAATTTGTGGTGTTCTAATTGCAAAAAAATGACCATAATTCTTCACTCTTTCTTATGTTAACTTCATATGCAAAGTGACATTTTATAGCTCCTCACATGAAGAAGAGGCTGTTGGACTAACCTGGTGTCTAGGCTGAGCTTGTCTTGCTTTGGCCAATAGAATGCAGAGAGGTCACTTAGACTTATTCTTAGATGAAGCTTCACAAGTCTCGAGTAGCTCCACTTCATTCCTTGGACCCTGGTTTAACATGAGAAAAACTAAGACTAATTGGTAAGCCATTGAGAGGCCAGGGAGCAGAGATGAGTCACCCCCAGTCAGCCTGCACTTGCCTCACCCACCAGTTGTCTGCTAACACAGGGAAAGCCAGCCATGACCTGCCATGTACAGCCAGGGCAACAGACTCGCCCAGATGTCTCTCAGACACGTGAGAAAATTTAATGTTTATTTTGTTAATCACTGAAATATGTGCTTCATTGTTTAGTAGCATTATTGAGCTGTTAGTAACTGACACATCATCAGAGAACACTATAAAATATGTACCAGAAGCTTCCCTCTTCCCACGTTTAGATATCCAGCAGCTAAGATGTTTTGGTAGGTGCTTCTCCTTCTCTACCTGGTTCATTGCTCCCAATACATCTCTGTTTCTAAGTACATCATCATTTTCCAGGACACATCACAGACTTGATTTTTGCTAACCAACTAACTATATTCATAGTTCCTGATTAAGTCCAGACAAGAAGGACACTTGTAGCTATTAAGGGAATTCAAAACAGATTTCATTAAATCTATCATGAATATGCAGAAACATCTGGAAAATAAATGTTTTCCTCTACATCCTAATGGCTCGCCATTGCACATAGCACAGTGTTTTTTGAAGGATTTAATATCAAGCCCACTTGTTCGAGAGTGATAGTACACAGGCCACAGAGTTCAAGAAAAATTTATTTTTCCTTCTTGTAACTATAGTTAATAGACTGAGGGAGAAAAAGAGGATCAGTTTTGTAGAATTTAATTAGGATTCACACTAATTGCTTATATTGAACCCTTTGAAACTGGTGAACTAAGACTCCAGAATGCTTTTGAAAAAACTATCTCCTGGAATATTTGAGATAGTATGAAGGGTTTGTCTGATTTTTATAATTTCTTATTCATATTTAATCACTATGCATCACTATAGCAAACAGTATGGTTTTCAAAGTATGCACATAGTGCATGACAATCAAATCAAGTATAATGTCACACATATTATTGTCAAGAGTTTTTGCTTTGTTTTGTTTTTGTTCTAGTGTACGCATGCTTGCAAAAGACAGAGAGATGGAAAATGAGAAATCACCCTCAGGGGAGGCAGTGGGTTGAGGACAGCCACACCACAATCCCTTCTCCACCATTCACCTCTCAGGATTTTGAGCGTGCACATGCAAGCACCTAGCATGATTTTAAGCCACCAGGTCCGGGATTCAAACCACTATCGGATATGTAAGAGTCAAGTGCCTTAGCCATCATGCTACCTGCTGGCCCCAACAGAGAACTTTAGAAAGGGTATTTATATAACAGTAACAAATGCACATAGATGAGGATGAGGTTGCAAGTAAACTTATGAAATTAATGCCATAGAGAAATTAATACAATGTATTAAACCATAAGAATCTTCTAAACATATTAATTATGCATATTTACTTGGAATGCTTTTTAGCCCTTAGCTTACAAAATCTTTAACTTTAAGCAATATGCAGAAGTTGCACTGACTCATTAAGAGGTATTCTTAGATGAAGCTTCACAAGTCTCGAGTAGCTCCACTTCATTCCTTGGACCCTGGTTTAACATGAGAAAAACTAAGACTAATTGGTAAGCCATTGAGAGGCCAGGGAGCAGAGATGAGTCACCCCCAGTCAGCCTGCACTTGCCTCACCCACCAGTTGTCTGCTAACACAGGGAAAGCCAGCCATGACCTGCCATGTACAGCCAGGGCAACAGACTCGCCCAGATGTCTCTCAGACACGTGAGAAAATTTAATGTTTATTTTGTTAATCACTGAAATATGTGCTTCATTGTTTAGTAGCATTATTGAGCTGTTAGTAACTGACACATCATCAGAGAACACTATAAAATATGTACCAGAAGCTTCCCTCTTCCCACGTTTAGATATCCAGCAGCTAAGATGTTTTGGTAGGTGCTTCTCCTTCTCTACCTGGTTCATTGCTCCCAATACATCTCTGTTTCTAAGTACATCATCATTTTCCAGGACACATCACAGACTTGATTTTTGCTAACCAACTAACTATATTCATAGTTCCTGATTAAGTCCAGACAAGAAGGACACTTGTAGCTATTAAGGGAATTCAAAACAGATTTCATTAAATCTATCATGAATATGCAGAAACATCTGGAAAATAAATGTTTTCCTCTACATCCTAATGGCTCGCCATTGCACATAGCACAGTGTTTTTTGAAGGATTTAATATCAAGCCCACTTGTTCGAGAGTGATAGTACACAGGCCACAGAGTTCAAGAAAAATTTATTTTTCCTTCTTGTAACTATAGTTAATAGACTGAGGGAGAAAAAGAGGATCAGTTTTGTAGAATTTAATTAGGATTCACACTAATTGCTTATATTGAACCCTTTGAAACTGGTGAACTAAGACTCCAGAATGCTTTTGAAAAAACTATCTCCTGGAATATTTGAGATAGTATGAAGGGTTTGTCTGATTTTTATAATTTCTTATTCATATTTAATCACTATGCATCACTATAGCAAACAGTATGGTTTTCAAAGTATGCACATAGTGCATGACAATCAAATCAAGTATAATGTCACACATATTATTGTCAAGAGTTTTTGCTTTGTTTTGTTTTTGTTCTAGTGTACGCATGCTTGCAAAAGACAGAGAGATGGAAAATGAGAAATCACCCTCAGGGGAGGCAGTGGGTTGAGGACAGCCACACCACAATCCCTTCTCCACCATTCACCTCTCAGGATTTTGAGCGTGCACATGCAAGCACCTAGCATGATTTTAAGCCACCAGGTCCGGGATTCAAACCACTATCGGATATGTAAGAGTCAAGTGCCTTAGCCATCATGCTACCTGCTGGCCCCAACAGAGAACTTTAGAAAGGGTATTTATATAACAGTAACAAATGCACATAGATGAGGATGAGGTTGCAAGTAAACTTATGAAATTAATGCCATAGAGAAATTAATACAATGTATTAAACCATAAGAATCTTCTAAACATATTAATTATGCATATTTACTTGGAATGCTTTTTAGCCCTTAGCTTACAAAATCTTTAACTTTAAGCAATATGCAGAAGTTGCACTGACTCATTAAGAGGTGATTATCAGGTGAGTGAATCCATGACTCACCCTGGCAGGGCTATGGAAGCCTTTCTTCTCCCGTGTTTTAAATATCTGAGTTGACTTGCAGTTCATTTCCATAAAGTGGGTGGAAACTTCTGAATGAACTATTTTTAGTAAAGACAACTTCGGAAAAACAGGCCAACTAATAACAAATTTCTGCTGCAACTTGATATTGAAAGATTAGGAGGAAACAATAGGTTGCAGAAAGAGTCACTGGATTTGGGATACTTTGCAAAAAATTGTCACAATGTCTCCTTTTCCCTCAGAGAAAGGCATCACTTTTTGTAAATCTTCTTAGGTTATATTGTCTTCAACAGTTAGTGCCTATATGAAAATAAATGGAAGGTAAAAAGTTGGTTAGGACTTGAAATCCACTCACCCTATAGTAACAGGCTTCTAAGTTTTTCCCTAACACTTTGTAATCAATGGTGTTGTAAATGCTGTTGTTGCTATTGGTGCTACTATTATTATTGTCATCATTACTTCCTTTTACTAGACAGAAAATCAATGTTAGGACATAGAATTTAAAACCCTACAACCCTGAAAATGTACTTAATTATTCTCGTTGTATTGAATTCATTCCCCACAGGAGATATAGTGTGTTCTTAAAACAGCGATTGAAAACAGCAAAAGATCAAAATGAAAAAGAATGAGAGGGAATGTGTCTGGTGCAATAACAGGGTTCACTCACAGGCTGGTTCTCCTCCGGGTGAGTGTAGGCTGAGATCGAATGTATGGACTAACCTTAGTTCCTGCAGTAGGACAACAATGTCTGGAAGGTGTGCGGACCGTGTCTGCTGGGGCTGGAGCAGAATCTTGCAGAGGGAGGAAGGCTCGAGGCAATCGTTAGTCACAAAATGTGCTGCAGTGAGAAGGAGAAATTACCAAGGCATGTGATGACAGAAGTGAATGCTGATACAAGAAAATCTAGACAGCCACTGAATCCTAAAATTAAGTCTAGAAGAGCTTCATTAGTTCTTAATAAGATGTGACGGAATAGAACATTATCCATACACATTAATGAAGTAAAGTTTCGGAGTTGAGTAAAGGTGATAAAATGTATGTAGGTGTTAGAAACAATTGGAATTTTTAAACCTAGAGATGCAAAAGTAAAGGATCTCCAGGAGGGATTCTAGAATTTTGGGAGTACCTAAGTCAAGGCTGATAAATGTGTAAAGAGGCTCAGAGAGTAACTTTATTATGAAACTGCAGAACAGTTAAATAATAGTTGAAATCCTCTTTCATAGAGTTTTCTATGCTATAGAAATTTTCTAACACCTAATAATCTAGAGGATGAAACTTGACCAAATAAAATATCTGTATATCAATTGATGGAAAACACATTTGCTATTATTTTCCAAATATGAAGCAATGAGAGTTACACATTTCATACTTACATAGGAGTACTGTCTACACTTTTGTTTGTATAGCCTGTGTGTTTTATGCATCAGTGCTTCAGAAAGCATAGCGTCCAGAACGTGTGAGAGAGACCCTCTTTACTGCCCATGCTCCCCAACCCAGCAGCTCCCATCTCCAGCCTTGAAGAACAGGCTGTGTGCCAGACTTTCTTCCTCCCACGCCATCTTCCTGCAAGGAAATGAATATATGGCCCAATTCTACCCGGAAGGTCTTACAGTGAATACAGGAGACATTCTCTTTATTCATGGAAAGTATCCAAAAAAAAAAAAAAAGCAAAGGCTCTTTTTCTTCCAAGGGATGCCATGCTAGTTCCACTGGGCTCCTAGAGGGCTGTAACCCTCTTGCTACGAGAGCAGAGACTAACATTCATGTGGCAGACAAGAAGGAAAATACAGCACTCGAGTCTTCAGCAGCGTTGCTGAACTGCTGCCCTGACTCGCAAATTACCCTGTGTCCTGACCGGTGATGACGTGAGATGATATTCTTTGTATGATTAAGCCACTTATGGGCATTTTGTTCCTGAGAGCAGATACCTCTAACTAATCTACACATCATCCTTCAAGACTCACCACAGAATCCAGAGCCCAGCTCTGCGCATGCCCTGGAGTTGGGAGAATAGATCAGTGTCGGTTACACCATTCTCAGCTAATGGGCTGAGTGCAAGCTGCCCTGATTTGCCATGGTGTAAAATGCATCCACTATGCAAGGCTTCATCAGAACTGCTCCTGCAGCCTCAGGCACCTGTCGAGAATCCACATGTCATCAAAGCCTGGTGAACCCCAATGACTTACGACACCCAGAATGTGGTGGCCTGTCGATGCACTACGGTAAGCATGTGGCCTAAGGCAAAGCTGAATAAATGAAACTTGAAATATATACCACTTAAGTTTTATATTATGGCTTTGCCTGTAAAAATCTCATAGTGTAAGTTCTATAAACTAATATTTTTTTAGCTTTGAGTTTGCTGTCAGTGTGGTAAATCCTTTAGGTACAAAAGATGTGTATGATGAAAAATAATAATAAATGACATTCAAGTCTAGCCCATCAAGCAACCATGTTTATTAATACCTCTGACATATGTACTATCGTTTCAACTTACAGATGAGAAAATGGAGCTAAAGAGAGACTAAGTGACCTCTTCGAGATCAGGTAGCCAGAAAGAGCCAAGCAATGGCTCGAATTCAGGTCACCTAAATGTCGAGCATAAATACTAACTGCTGTGTAGCCACTCCTCAAAGAACTAACCATATAAGAACAACATATGATTGAGCAGCAAAAAGAATGTTCCAGGAAAAATGAATGACATAAGCTATTTCTGGGCTATGTTCACGCAAACACTAGAAAGCCCAGCTGATAAGCATATGGAAGAGAAGATTTTCCACCCTGTAAGGTAACTGAAGTATATCTAAAATATCACTCAGACACAATGCTGTCTGGGTTATAAAAAGCCCAGAAAGCTGACCTCGTGGGGTGGAACTCTGTAGAGGGGCTCACGGAGCAGCAGTGTGTGTCTTTGGATATCAGTGCGGCCCGGTCCTTCCAGAGGCACCGAGAGCATTTGGCTGATTCACTCATCTGGGCAGGCATCTCCTCCCTCTCCGTGTTTCCTCTACATAAACATTTAGGCAGAGAAGGCAAACAAGGCAAAGGAAGATAATTTCTGATCACGAGTGGAGAGGCTTGACCAGCCCTGGTGGTGCAGTAGTAGCTCAATATTCCGTGATGCTGAGGCCACAGGGGAAGGTCCTGAGTTAGTGTCCTGAGATCTCCCTGTCCATGCCAGGCACACAGATGCCTGTTAGTGAACCTGCTGCTGAGACTTGAGGCAGGATCACAATGTGAAGATTTTGTTGGGGCATCTCTCTCTCACTCTCTCTCTCTCTTCCTGCCTGCCTCATGGAAGAAATAAATAAACTTTAAAAAAGAATAGAGTCTTGAAATAGCCCTGATGGTACCTTGCAGTGTACTTACTGTTCATCCATTGTGTTTTTGTTTGTTTGTTTTTGAGGATTTTTAGAGGGCATGTGCACTCACCAGAAAGAGAGACTGAAAGCGAGAAATCACCCCCTAGTAGGGATGGCCACACCACAATCCCTTCTCCTCCATTCTCCTCTTGGGATCTTGGGCATGCACGCACATGTGCCCAGCGTGAGTTTAAACCACCGGGTCCAGGACTCAAACCATGGATGACTACATAGGAGTCCAGTGACATAGCCATTACTCTAACTGCTGGTCCCCCTCCATCATTTTTATACACCAATGCACCAGACGTCTTGATGGAGCAATACTAAATATGTTAGAAACAAATTCATGTTCAATAATGTGATTTTTGTTAGGGCTATTAGGGCAAGAGTCTGATACACCATGTCCTTGATAAGCAGAACAGCAAGATCATTTCCAGAACTACATTGAAGTGGATTATGCCCTACTGAAGTCGATGGTTCATGATACTGCTTTTAAAAGGCATCCATGATCTGCGCACCCAGATACACTACAGCACACTTGTGCTACTCGGATGTAACATGATCCCTCATTACGACTTGACCCACTGTTAAAAGAACCAAAGACGACAACATACTTAAGACATGGACCGTGTAGTTGGTTGGTTGGTAAGATGATGCTTGTTCAAGGAGTCAGAAGTGCGTCTGAGTGTAATGGTGGTGTGAAATGCAATAGACAACACTGAATGGAATCGTGGTGTTTGTAAAAGGTGCTTTGTAATTACCAAGTGTTATTAAAGCATCTACTTCTGACATCAGTACACACAGAAGAGTTTTACCTCTGATAAAACATGCCATCCTTGTCACTGGGCTGCTGTGTTTGACAGGGTTGAAATTTTACATGTTTTCTGTCATTGCAGACATTGTCTCAGTATTCATTCCTAAAATGCACTTTTGATTTTAGAATTCCAAGTGAATAGTGAAGCTACTGATGGTTAAACTATCTTTATTTAGAAAATATGCTAAACACAGCAGCTGGAAGCACTCATCTGTCAAAACTGGGGGTTTGTTTTCAGCAGAGCAGCCAAAACTGCTTCTGGAGCTGCTGTAGATGTATTGGCTTGTTACTGGGGGTCTCTGCCAAATTCAAGTGATGAGATAATCTGACTTTTATGACAGTCTTACACTATATCAAAATAAACTAAAAATGCAGTGAAAATGCCAAGTGTTTATATAGAGTTTCTGATATGCATGCACAGCAAGTGCTGATTCATTTATTCAGGACATGTTTAAGCAGGTGCAGGGTCTGTTTAGGACTCACTCAGGGACAAAGTCTTCGCTCTCAAGGATCTTCCACTCCTGTAGGAGTCACAGAAAATAACTCCATAATGAAGACACCACTACCATGGCCTACATAGATACAAAACAATTCCCTGGAAATCCCAAGCTGAATTTTTGGTGGAACCTGAGAAGCTGTTTGATCACATCACTGATGCCATATTGGTGCAGGGTTTCAATCAACCACAATGGCTTTCGATAACCCTTAGTGAGAACTCTTCTGACACTCTATTTAATTTTTTAATATACGTTTCCCCCCTCAGTACTGGGGGAAACACTTCTTACCTCACTATTATTTTTTTACTTTGTTTCATTGCAATAATTATCTTCTAATATAAGCCAAAAAATCAAATTATAGGGCAGTTAAAGTGCAAGTTCATTTATGTAAAATTCAATATAATTAAAACTAAAACACATTATCTTACTACATATATATTAACTTACCAACAAAAGCAAGATCTTGATAAATAGCACATTAATGAAAATAGTTACCTATGAGTAGAAGGGAAGAAGATGGACTCGGGGCATATGGAAGATAAGCATGAGAGTAAAGGTAGTATCTTTCTTAATTAGGAGTGGACGTATGGATGTAAATAATATAATCATTATTTATATATCTAAATGTCTGAATCACGAATAGTCGGTATTCATCAGAGTCAGGACTGCAATTGTTCATTTCTCTTATGTAAAGCAGATGACAAACTCTCTTGGATTATTATTTTCTTTTTTTAATGGATGAGGAAGTCAATGTTGATGTGGGTTGCATTCCTCAGCTTGTGTGTGCCCAGAGGCCAGGGCCTCTATTAAACTCTATTTAATAGAGTTATATTTTTTGTTGTTGTTATTTTGTTTTTGTTTTTGTTTTTCCTATGGACCAGGAGCTCTCATCTGTATGATCCAGCTTCAAGGCTAGCACTTGGAGTTTAGGACCTGGTATTCCAAAATATAGCACCTTGGCATTTGAGAAAATATTAGAAGAAGGATGCTCTTTCAGACCTTCTCCTGACCTTCTGCCATGAAGTAGTCATAAAACAATTTTCTGCTCTTGCTGCGAAGTAGGTCATATTTGAGATTATGTGAGAGTCGCCCACCCTAAGGAATGCCCTGATCTCTGACAGCACAGGGGCAGGGAGAAGCATCTGAATAAATAGGCCTTGCTCCATTACCCCAGACCACAGTCATCTGTCTCATCGTTCTTCTTCACAAGCATTCAATTCCTTGTCAAAGCTAACCGGGAAATAATATACAGGTTTCCTATTTCTTTAAATCTTCTTTGAGGCAATAAGAAAATTTAAAAAATGGAAGTCAGCAAGGGGGAAATTTTCAGTGGGTGTTTTCTAGGTGATAGGTGAATCAGTGGGCCCAGCCACATTTGATATAGCCAATGGGATGAAAGAAATTAGTGAGCCCAGTCAATCATCAACCAACACAACCCCATTATGGAATTATAAACTCCATGGAATGCAATTACTGGGCCCTTGGGCCACTCTTTCTCTCTCCACTTGGTCTTGCTCCTAGTCCTTAGGAGTATACTTTCTCTTTTACTTAATAGGTTACCCTTTGCTTTCACTATTGCATGGGTATGTTTCATTCGATTCTTTTCCAAAATACCAAGACTCTAGATATAACCAAAGCCATCCTGCAGTACATACCTTATAAAACCCCTCATGTTATGTGAAAGTTATATTTAATAGAGTTATACGCTTTTTTATGTTAATCTGTCTTGTTGTAGATGCCTCAGCCATGAACCTGCCCAGGAGTAAAGAAATATCTCTTTTCTCTGCTACACACTCAAGAAGAGACTGAGGTACACCTCAAAAAACTAAGTGGACAAATACATAGTTCACCTTCTTCTTAAAGAACAATAGTGTTTAGTAGACTAAATCTTTTGTCATTGAAGTATTCTGAGATGCATCTTGATGTTTAAAATAATTATTGTTAAAATGCTGGGAAAAAAAAAAGAACAATAGTGAAAACACATGAGTATGACAATTTTTCAAACTCTCTGGTTCTTTTCATTTAAATCTATTCTATCTAAAACACTGGTAATTGGGGACACAGAAGAAAGAAAGTTCCAGCAACCTAATTTTTACAAGCATGCCTATGTGACTGATTTAGTTCATCTACAAAGGGGAATGCAATTGGCCTTCCTTCTCGAAAATGACATTATCAGCAACCATGTGTCAAGTGCCTGGGAAAGAAAACAAATGTACCTGCAATGAAGATGTAAAACA